CCCCAAAACCCCAAAACCCCAAAACCCCAAAACCCCTTAATAGAATAAATTATTGAATTTTTGGAGACTCAACAAATGTTCACTAAAGAATCGTACTTAGCATGTTTCTATCGTCAACAGTGACGTCAATGGTGCTCTGATCATACTCTCTAACCTGTCTCTTGATTTCTTTGTTAATGAAATTGATCATATCAGCCTGAATAGCGATAATTTTAGCATAAAAGTCCTTGTATTTTGTAGAGTAGACGCAGAATGCTCTGTCTAAGTTTAACTCGAAATCTCCAAAATCTTCTTCCTCAAGATCAGGCATCAGGGCTGTACTAACAGAGACTGGGGTTGCAGGTCTTCATATAACCATGGGTTCTTCACCTTCCTCATCTATTATAGGGAATCCAATCTTTTGATAAACTGCATATTTTAGATCTGTCGTGTACAAAGATTTAAATATATTTTGGGATATCTCTGAATGCTCTTGCAGCTCTAGCTCACTCAACTTAGAGGTTACCAATTCTGGGATCATATATTTACACACATCGTTGAGAGTTTGGTAATACTCTAGCAATTTGTCCTCCGTAATCTCCTTAGGAAACTCAAAATAGGCTTTGAAATCTCTGTTGGTCTTCAAGCATAAATTTATACAATTCCTATGACTATTGAAAGACTGGACTGGTTCTGTATCCTCATAGATCTCAAGAAGTTTCTTGAATTTCTTGATGCTCATCTTATCCTGACATGCAATAATCAATCATTTCTTGGCAGTTAGAGTCATCTGTTTGGCGAATAGCTTGTTTGCGACTTGATCACCTTTCTGCCCTCCTTGCATACCTAAAGTTGTGTTAAACCAGTAGAATTGGTTGGAACTTGAAGAACAAAGGCCTCGATACCATACCATTTCCTGTTCCATAGTTGTTTTCTTTGATGAATTTGTTGGCCTCTCTGGCCTGGATGAACTTCTTGACTACAAAATTAGGAGATGCATACCTAGCGCAACTTCGTACCGCTTCAAAACTTCCATGAATATTTTCTTGTTCTTAGCATATCTTGAGTTTTGTTTGTACCTTGATTGGGTGAGTAAAGGAATCACTCGTAGAAAATAGAGCACATTAGGATGGAAAACATGAAGAAATAAAGATTTTAAGTAGCATGGATTTGAATATCTTTAAATAACCCAACCTCTACTAAAAATGCATGTTTTTGTATATTTAAGAGTGTAAGACAATATTTGTGTTAGGCTTACCTGTATAATCCGAATCCAAGGAGCACAACTGCACTTCCTCCAAAGACGAATTTCTTAGTCCTGCTTTTTTCCATAATATTCTTTCAATATTTCTTTTGCAAAGCGGGGTTTTGGGGTTTTGGGGTTTTGGGGTTTTGGGGTTTTGGGGTTTTGGGG